GAGGTCCTTTTTTAAAGCACTTTTCCAGATAACATTTATACTCCTTGGCACCTTGTGTTTGGAAGCCACGTGTGAAATTTTGATAGTAATTAAATGCCTCTTGTTACTTTAGAAAACAATGATAATACAGTTTATAAATTTCCACTATTCTGTGCTACTGAATGTTCTTAAATTAATCCATTAGTAAGGATGAAAGAGCTGTGATTCTGTGCTCCATGCAATGCTTTTATGGCTAGTTCAGCACCACTACTGAGTTTGTAAACAAGAGAACTGAAGTTAATTTTATAACTTCAAAGTAGAGTAAAAGGCTAAAGAACACGGCATTTGAAAATGGATCCTGACAAATTCAAGGAAAGAGTTATATTCAGGGCTAGGATGTTCTTGAATATTTTAAATGGATTAGAAAGAGTTGTTAAACTGAGTGTCTTTTTGGTTTTAATCAATTATATTAGTTGAGGATTGCCACTAAGTACCTGAAGGATCGAGGAAGAATTCTTTCCCCCTCATACATTCAGATTTTTTCATCATTACATTTGTTGGGGTTTTTTTTTATTTTTCTTTACCAGGAATTAAAGATGAGAGTCTGAACATGCTATACTGCCATTCCTATAGGAAATCTTAATGATCCTGTTTATGTTTTCCACCCATGCTTGGGACTGCCATCTGGCATGCAGTTGCCAGATTTGAGGGGAGTAAGGAATTCTCTTCTCCCCCACCCTCTCATCCTTGTTTACACTGGCACAGGCTGTTGGGATCTTTATTTTTTTATGCTCTTCTGGTTTATGGAGCAAAGTTCACTTCCTGGGCTTAGTTCAGCTGCTTCACTGTGGCTCCCTGGAAGTGCAAGACCTTCAGTGCTGCTAAATATACTTTCTCATTATTTCTGTGTGATGTCTGAAGGGGTTTTTTATCTCTTATACTAAAGATATACGTTACAGGCTGCGAGAGTTTTTCAACTGCTGTGTGTATGTATGGGCAGAATGGGTGTTGATTTTACATTTTAATCTAACATCTACTAAATATGTTTAGGACTTCAGGGTGATCAAGGTAGTCCCTCCCATCATTTACACCTCTGTTCTGCTAGGAAATGTCTCTGATACATTCACGGAAGCAGCAAAATCAATATTGTGCTTTAGCCCTGAATGTATTTGGAATTTTGCTTTGAAAAATCCTTCATTTTAGACTATTTCTTTGCTATGCAATACTGTAGGTTGTACATCCTCAATCTGGTTTATGTGACTGCACCAGTAATAGAATCAAACTGTTTAAAGTCTGATTTCTCAGTGGAAGATCTAGAGTTCAGGGAAAAAATGCATGAGGATCTGTGACTCGAGAAGCATTGCCTGAAAGGTGTTCAAAATCTAATAATCCTAACATTTTTACTTTTTCACAGCACTCCTAGCCTTTCAAATACCTTTCTGTGGGACTTATAAAGCAAATATTAATATGCAAATGTGAAGGCTTTGAGCTAATTGAATATTAATTATTTTTGGAATATGCTGCTATTGAGATGTTTGAACATTAAAGACAATGAACATTACATAATTGATAAGAATGGCTCATCAGTTAAAACAGAGTTTTGTGTGACTATTGATGAATGGCCTAAAGTCATATTAGTTTAATGGTTTCTGTCTGTACAGAGTTAATTTTTGAGGTGCAAGGTGATATTAGGGTGTTGGATAGGAGGTTGTAGAACACTATGATAGGTCAATACCAGCTCTGCCAGTGTTGCTACATTCAGGAATAGTGTACTTTACTCAGACATGGGGGAATGCAATGATTTTTTGTGCTCTCCTTTCAGCAATTCTATTTTTATTTTTATACTTTGCATTAATTCTCTTTATAACAGTCATAAATGGTATGATCTGTTAAACTTCTAAGGTGCAGCTGTATTCATTCAGGGAGTGTGCTTAGATAGTAAATAGGAGAGACCACCTCTCCTTGCAGCTCTGAACAGGCTACAAGGGTGGATTTATTTGTGTGTGACATGAAATCCCAGCTCCGCTCTGGTTTCCTGCAGCCACTGTGTGGGACCTGGAACCTGAGGAGAACCTGTGCTGCATCACTAAAAATGTCTTGGTTCCAAAAGTTAAATGAGAGAATGAGGCTCAGGTGATCATCAGCAAATATGAGCCTGCTGCTTAGTAAATAGGGGTCTTTAGTGACTTTTTTGCTGAAAGCAATGAACAGGGATGTGTTTCCAGCCTGAGGAGACAGGACAAAACGAGCAGTACAAACCTATGTTGCAGATCAGGTATAATTAATTTCTCTGTAATTAAGTCACAGAGTAATTTCTGCTGACAGGGGTGCCTGGAATCTGAGAATTAGCAAGCTCCTCTGTAAAGAACTGTCAGATGTAAGGAGGGAGCTATAACTGTGAGTGATTGCAGAATGATCTAGTGTGAAGATAACTACCCGTCACTGGCTAGCAGGGAAGTGGCCCAGAGGGACCATCTTCACTTAAAATATATGTACACAGGAGGCTTCAGAGCAATAATATATTTGCTAAGAGAAAACTATTGCATCACTCATCTATTAGGTGAGCCAGATCCGTTGGTGAGTGCCAGCAGGAAAGAAGGGAACTAGGAATACTCAGGACCTGAGGAATTGATGAGCAGCCGGAAGGAAAGAGCCCATTTATATGAGAAGCAGTTGCATCAACTAACACCTGCACTGGCAGATGTTTAGGACCAAATCCATGGGTCTCATGCCAGGGCACAGACAGCAGAGGGAAGGGCAAAGCAGCACTGCAGCCCCACTGCCTGGGAGTGTGGAGCCCACCTGAGAGAGAGCGCAGGGAGACAGAACTTGCTTTCTTCAGTCTCGTCAGAAGAGATGGATTAGGGGCAGGACAGAGTCAAATATCTCTCAACCATTTCCCTGGCAAAGCAGAGAAGTTGTTTTATTTGACTTATCTACCAAAAAGCCACACCTGAGAATGAATAGGTGCATTACTTTAAACATATTTGAACAAAATCACTGCAATACATTTTGGGCATACAGCTTGCAGCAAGTATAGATTCTCTGTATAGATGCAGAAAAGGATGCAGTTCTTGAACTTGTATATTACTTTTATCTTTGATGATGTTACATTAGAAAGAAATGGGATACCATAGAAATATTTTTTGTAATAAACGAGTACATCAAAAGAATAAGATAAAGGCAGAAGATAAGTGAGGACTCAGAGCAAGAAGACTCATCAGAAAAAATGCTTTGCAGATGTGTAGTGTTCACTGTGGTGTGACACAGACATGTTTCTTGTTTCCTATTTCAAAATATATGAGTTAAAAAGCATATGCTAAATCAGGTAAGACTAAACTGTTAGTGCTATGCAGCTGTCCTTGCTGAAGGATAGCCTTTATCTCACATGATTACATTTACAGTTGTATTGTAATAGAGCTGTGTACTAATGGGATGATTTAGCCATAAATCCAAAAGCCATATTGAGGCTATTAGAATGTTGAGGGTGTCTGGTGCAAGCCTCCCTGGTGCACTTTCTGGTCACCATCTGGAAGGAAGCCAACTAGATGCAAATCACCTTTTGTGGGAAAATAAGAGCCTAATCTGTGTAAGGGTCACACTCCAATGTAAAATATGTATGGATTTATCAGTGGGAGTCATTACCAACATACCTTTCTGCTGCTCTTTGCCTCATTGTGTGCACCAGCTCAAGTGGAAAATCAAGTGACAGATTAATGCTACGCATTTGCAAAACCCTTTTGAGAGGAGCAGACGCTGTTGCCTGTAAATTTAAGCCTTTTAAGAGGTTAAGATGGGTGAAGGTGAAACAAATATTATTGTACTTAACAGTGTACTCCTGCACTCTACAAGGCTTGATTCTCTTCCCCCTTGAAGTCAATTGTGAGGCTTCTGTTGACATTAATGGGAGCGGGCTCGGCCTGTTCCTGAGCTGGAGAGGGGCTGCACAAAGAGCTCTTCAGCGTTTCCTTTAAGTGCAGAAAGACAATTTTTTTAAAAAATAAGAGAAACAAACAATGACAAAACACCACAAACAACCTACATGTTATTTGCAAAGTGTGGTACTGAAATCTGTATTAGTATTTAAAAGGAGGCTGGGGAGAGGGTTGTTGATATTCTGTCTATTCCTGCAAGAGAAGTCGTTTAGTGGGGAGGGGTGAGTTTTGATAGCTGGCCTTGGTGCACTGTTGCCATGGTGAGTTGCAAACAATTCCTCCCTGGATTCTGGAGGTTCTGTGCATTTGCTAAAGTTAACACTGTTACCAAGTGAATTCTTTAGTTCAGAATTCCTGGTTTATAATTTGTTGGTTGCAGAATTCTGGGACTAAAGTTTCAGTCTCGGAATGGTTGGCTCCTGATAAAGCAGTTTGAGGTGGTTTCCTATGCCTAAATAAGCATCCTCTGGAAGGTGTGAAATGTACCAAATACAGGAAATGGAAAAGAGCCCCTGGCATTTCATGAGATTTTTGAGTGTTCCTGACTGTTTGCCAGGGCTCATTCAAAGTAAATGGATGGGTTACTTTCTAATAGTTCATGGGCAGTGACCCATATAAGAAAAACTTCTGAAGAAATCATGAGTGCTTCACTGACTTTACTTACCTAAATAATTTTTGGAAAGGGACCTGGTTTTGTTAGAAACAGATTATTAGGCACACTGTATGTTTATATTTGCTGCCTTCTTGCTGTCAGTTAACTGCTTTGGGTGGGACAGACTAACCAGATAAGGTTCGAGCTTCTGTTGTTGGAGAGAGAAACCAGGATCTGAGCTGAAGGGCATTAATCCACAATTAAAGGTAGGAAACAGGAGCTGTCCATACAAGGAAAAAAAATGGAAGCAATGAACTATAATGTTCATCTGTTCTAGGACTGGAAGCAGGCTGACAGAACAAAAATCTAATTTGGAAAGCAGCTGGTCACACCCAGATTCTGGGTTAACATACGAACTTTAATCCCTAAGAGAAATATGGAAGTTATCCCTGGAGCCAGCTATGCAGACTGGCTGGATATCCAGCCTGTAAATGCAGTGGAGTTGCAAATAGTAGTGAACTTCCTAGAGCTGTTTAGTTTTGGTTTATTGTTGGTGGATTTTTTACCGTCCTTACCGATGCAAGAATAATTAACGTGTTACTCTGCTCATTACACAGGATGTTATGTGTCACTTGGACTTGGAGAAGTGCTGAATTTGAGGCAGATCCATGGAAGGATGTACTGTGCCCCCTTTGCCTGGTCACTGCTTGGCAGTGTGGAAAAAAAATGAGTTCTGACTGAAATGTTTGTATGGCCCAGGTTGGAAATGAATTAACAACACACTGCAGTAATTGATTCTTTAGGGCTTGAAAGTGGGAAGAAAACAGCAGTTTGTGGCTAGATAGGCACTTGCTATGGTGAGGAAGCAGATACATAAATGAAATAATACATCCTTGCTGTATAGAACGTTGTCTGGAGAGATGGTTCTTTAATTGTATGTCCTATATGACTGTAGGACAAGGAAGTCCTGAATTGAGATTTCTATTTGTTTACATAATATAGAATGGTGTTGGGGTTTCTCTTACTTTTTTCTAGGCAAAAGTGCATGTTTCTTCCACAGTCAAATATTTAGGATATTATAAATAACTTCTCAGCAATGCATAGTTTCTTTGCATGAAAATGGGACGATGTGAGTAATGAATGTTGACTTGGAATTACAGCCAGTATGGTAATGAAATAAAGCCCCATTAGATTTAAGTAATTTGCAAATTGAGGTTGTTATCACATAAATAATTGTATCCCTGGCTGATGTGAGGGAAGGGTCATATCAGTCAATCAAGTAGGAAAAAAGACTTTTAAAGAAATGTAATCAAGCATGGATGTTAAATTATGGATTAATTCCATACATGCACAGCAGTAAATTCCCACCAGTAGACAGCTGTCAAGGTTACCTAGAAAACTTTGCTACATTTATTTTCAATGTGATAATTCTGCTCTTGTTCTACTTCTACAAAAGCTCCAGGTAATTATTTTTTGTGTAAATTCCAACAACACATCAGTTTATCACAATGCTTGTATTAGTCATATATACTTAAAATTAACTAAAAGTTATTCAGATGCTAAATAGGTGCATGTATTGTTCAGTTTCTAGGTCAATTTTGGCTTTCTTAACTTGTGCCTTTCAAAAGAGTAGGCATAAAAAATCATGTTTGAAAGATTCATCCATTGAATCACTGGAGTTGTAGTAAATTAGTATTTTTACCTGAAGGAGGTAGAGGAGAATCAGAATGCATCACAAATCTCTGTGAACCAAGAGTGTTTCAGCCTCTCTGTATAAGCCTGGTTGTGTTCTGCTGTGGAGATGTTTTGTTGCCACTGGGTTTCTCCTGACAGAAGGTTTGACCAGGGGTGTGTATAACTATAGGGCATCTGATCTATTTCTTTACCTTCCTTAATTAAAATCAGATCTATTTGTTAGAAAACATTGTGGAAAACCTAGAGGCACCAAAAGGGAGCCTTCAATACAGAAACTAACTGCAAACCTCTGGAAACACTGAAGCTCAAAACAATGAAAATCTCTGCAGTTATGGCAAAGCAGAGTATCAAAGGACAGCAAAGTCACCCTGACAGGTCAGTAGTTTAAAGTAGCTATAAATAAAACCTGAATTCTCCAGTTGTGCCAGCTGGGGTCAGGGAAAGTGTTTTATTTTCCAAACAGAAATTTATCCCATAAATTTGTTGATTAAATAGTCAAACATCTTCTCAAACAAGAAATACTTAACTGCTATTTTTCTCTTTTAATAGCTGACTTCTGAAGATTTTCAGTTCTGTCTACGTTTTCCCCCAAGTATGACATCATATTAACGATAAAAAATTTGGTTGAATGAGAGTGCTGCAAAACTGTCTGAGCACTGAGTATGGGTGCCATAAAGGCTTCCTGCTAAAGCACCAGTCTCCCCATAACTGTAGAAATGCTGATATGAATTTGCTACCCTTGACTTCTCCCTGCCTCACTGTTTGTGGACTCACTTAGGCCTCCAAACAGTGTGTTTAAAATGCTGCTAAATCAGAACACCTCTTTGCGAGGGTCTTTAGAGGTGTGATGGTGGGCTGTAATCCTTTTCAGTAAGGATATTCCACTGTGGAGTTGCCTGTGAGGTACTGGCAGGTGGTTTAACATTACCTCTTCTTTTTACAGGATGAAGTCAGACATCTGGCACTGACTGGGTGTCCCCTGCAAGGCTGTGCTCCATTCCAGTCGTTCTCCTGTGTGGCTGTAAAAAGGACATGATGTTTTTTTCCATCACACACCTTGTCTCCTGGCATTGAATGCTATAGCTGAGATGTGCAGGTGGAGGAGGAATTTGCTTATTGCCAAAGGAAACTCCAAAGCAGAAAAAGGCTGAGCTAGGTGATTCACAGGGGAGTTGTTTTGGTTTTGTTTGTCTTCCCCAAAGGGCTGCCATCATCGTGTGAGGGTACAGGGCTGTACCTTGTGCTATACCCTGTCTGGGGGGGGCATCAGGCAAAGCATCACTAGAGAGCTGAGGGAGGGGATTGTCCCGCTCTGCTCTGCAGTGGTGAGGCCTCACCTTGAATATTGTGGCAGTTTTGGTCACCACAATATAAGAAAGATGTTAAACTGTTAGAGAGTGTCCAAAGGAGGGCAATGAAGATGGTGAGGGGCCTTGAGGGGAAGTCATGTGAGGAGGGGCTGAGGGCACTTGGTCTCTTCAGCCTGGAGAAGAGGAGACTGAGGGAAGACCTTATGAGGGGAAGAGGAGGGGCAGGCACTGATTTCTTCCCTCTGGTGACCAGTGACAGGACCCAAGGGAATGGTCTGAAATTGTGTCATGGGAAGTTTAAGTTGGATATTAGAAAAAGATTCTTCACCCAGAGGGTGGTTGGGTGTTGGAACAGGCTCCCCAGGGAAGTGATCACAGCACCAAGTCTGGCAGAATTCAAGAAGCATTTGGATCATGCTCTCAGGCACAAGGTGTGATTCTTGTCACTTGTGCAGGGCCAGGAGTTGGACTTTGATGATTCTAGTGGGTCTGTTCCAAGTCAGGACAGTCTGGGGTTCTAGGTGTAGAGCACTGAAGCAGCTGCTCCTGCTCAGGGTGGACCTAGCCTGGGATTACATCATTGTTATTGTGATAGTTTGAAGTTCCAGGCTAACAATTTGTCTCTTTCCATTAGACTTCTGTTCTTTGAAAACTGATAATAAAGCAAGAACTTTAAGTCTGCAAAAATTATTGCTTTTTGGAGTATTTGCTTAAATCAATATCTGAATGATAAAGCTGAGGGACTAGTCTGTCATGTAGTTTGACTAGTCACTTCAGTTTGAAGCAAGTATGGAAGTTGATATAAACTGAGGTTGTGGCTGAACTGTGGAGAGTTAGGGAAAAATTCTCTCTGCATATGAATGTGTATATTCTTTAAATATTAACTAGTGTTCCATATTACAATAGTCAAGGATGACTACTGCTATCCATTCATTTTTTTTGCTTCCTTTCATATAATATAATTTAAAAAATTGCTAAAACTATGTTTTAAATTATTAATATGACATTAGATGGCCAAACAGTTACTCTTCCTCTCTCCTGAGCTTCCTATCCTGACAACAAGACAGGTGGCCTAGAACTACTGTGGAGAAGGCAGCATAATCAGGGGCAAGGGGTCAGTTACAGTGGAATTAGATAGACAAATAACCAGGGTTCAGGGATATGCTTAAATGAACAACACAGTTTGCACTATCTGTCGACAGTTATTTTAAGATGCATAAAACACTGAGTTCACAATGTCCTACTTTTGCAGGGATAGGCTGTAAGGACCATAAATCCTGTGAAAAGGGTCAGAATCTAATTTACAGGTCTGATTCTAAGCTTGCTGAGGTCAATGGAAACCTCCCTGTTAAGTTTAGTTTGGATCATATCTGAAGGAAAAAAATTGTGTTGAGAGAGTGCTAAGATGAAATGAGGAAGTAAAAGTTCTCCCAGTATACGTGCACTTCTCATATATCTATCATTGAAACAGTTTATGAGACTGATAGACTATCTCTCGTGGTTCTATTTTGATTTATTTCAGAATACAGTGACCTTAGTGAGTTAAGAGTGAGATTATTCTTTACCTGCTCTTATAAACCAAATGGAGGTGCATGTTTGCCCCAGGGATCCAGGTGTGTAGTAGATTTGGGAAGATGTCTCCTTCAAGAATGTCCTTTTCAGTACAGAATGAACCAGAAGTACTTTTGGAATTATTTAGTCCATTGAACATACAATCCTGTAGTTCTCCTCTGGTTAAAAACACAGGATGACATTTTCTGCTGATGAAAATGCATGCTGCTCCACTGACACCTGTGAGCTATATCATCACATTCTCCAAAGAACTTGGTCTGGTTTTTTGGGGTTTTTTTGCTGTTTAGTTGTAAAGGTCCCTCTTGGGACTTGGGCTATTTGTTACACCTACTGCAGAAAACCAGTGATGAGATGACTGTGATGAAAGGCACTGTACCAAACAGTCACTAATGCTAGTCTGCATCAGCTGCCTTGCAAAAAAAGAAAAGTGGGCCTTAAATCAAGCACCAGAAAAAAAGATCCTTTTGAAAGAAGGAAAAATAGTCAATTTTGAGTTTGCTCTTTTGCAGCAAAATAGAAATTGTAATGCTCCTATAATCTTAGGCCAAGTCAGACTCTGGTAAGTATAATGGGACATAAGTGCATTTTGTTTTGCTGTTAGTGAGAGTAAATTGTATAGCTGTCAAGCTGTGGCACGTCTATAAGTGCTGAGTAAAACCATTACTGGGAGTGATGAAATTAGTGTGCCAAAGGAGAGGGAAGAATGCAGATCCATCAAGTGAACCTGTTAGAACTTTGAAACAAGTTTAAACCAGTACAGATGCCATGACCATCTGCTGAGGAGTATGTATGGACATAATTGCACAGAACAACTGTCATTTCATTTTTTTAAAAAGCACCTTATTTTGCAGGACTTATATATGTACGTATACAGCTTCTCCATCCCCCCAGACCCATGTCTTTGAAATATCTGTATGTTCTTTTTTAACACTCAGCTCCAAATGATCTGATTTATTTGAGGTTCTCCTGTTGTGTGTAAGAAGTTACATCTGCCCTGTCCTGTAGAAGAAGCTGGAGCCCCTTTGCAGTTTAGCATTGCTGAACTGTGCCTCGGAGTTTATCACAGAAGTATGGAGATACTCATAACTGTAATGATGCTCCCAGAGCTTTGTCCTTGTGGTTTGTGTCACTAGAACCTTAGGCAGAATGATATCTCTGTGTTATGTGGCTGCTTGTCTATTGTTTTTATTCCAGAAAGAGTGTGAGCCTAGTTCGTGGGAATGTTGCTGTTCCTTCCAGTGCATGTCACTGCTGCAGAAGCCACAGAGATGCATTTGTAAATAGGTAAGATTTAATAGAACCTAATGAAGGCAGTGGACATTTTATTATGCTCAACTGTGCCTTAATGGATGATTTCAAATGTTTAAATTCACAAGTGGCCACAGTAAATTTCAATCCACCATTATAAGGGAGGGATCTTTCACTCCAGCTTTCTGAGCACAGACACAGTTTTAGGTAGAAGCTCAGTTTTATCTGGTAGGAATAAAAAATAAATATCCTATGCCTGACCTCTGTCAACTGATTGGAGTGTTCCTGAGCATGGAGCATTTGCTGTGAATTGTTCCCATTTGCTGGATTTGTCATAGTGTCTTTGCTTATTTGTGATTTGTACAATGAGAAAAACTAGAAAGATGTGGGTAAATAGGTTAAATAGTATTGTTTATCTCACACTTTTGCATCTACATTTTACATTTCTTGGGTGATGACTTTTAGTCTCTGCTTTTCTGTCTTTTGGAACAGAACATGTATTTGCAGGGGCTCGTGTTTTTCGAAAGTAGATCCATCGTAAGCATAGGAAATCTATTAAAAATGTTTTAGGAAAAAAAAGTGATATGGCTGGAGAAAATATCTGGGCTTACCCTGAGATGAATGTTTAGGGCTTTTCTGTTTTACTGTCTTAGCAATTTTTGCCAGTGTCACTTTAGCTTTAAGCCATATGATTTTATCGATTTGACTTTAGCTTACTGAAATAGTAATATGTGTAGATAGATAAATACATTCTAAAATCATCAAACCATTTCTCCCAAGATTCAAAAGTGAGTCAAGAAGTCAATGACTTCTTTTTTTTCTGTAGTTTTTTCCCCCTGAAATTATTTATATAGTCATTGTCTTTTTGTAGCTGGTTTTTAAAAAAGCTGAATCACTTTAATTCCTTCTGAAACAACAAAACCTCAAGTAAATACTATATGTGTAATATTTTTATTGCTTTTTTTGATCTTACTGAATTAACATATTCTGTAATGTACTAAAGGAAGGGAAACAGGGAATGCAGAAAAATTTATAGTCAGACTTGGTTTCAATGCAGGTATCTCACAATACCAGTGACATGGGCCCCTGTAACATGAGTCTAGGGCCAATATTTAAGCTTTCTGTTCCAGGGGGATTTTTTAATGACAGCACTATACTAGGAAATAAAAGAGCAATGCTTCCTTCCTTTGCACCACATTTGTGTCTGCATTGCTAATATGAACTAACAAGGCTCTTGGTGAGTTCTGCTGGCCCTTGTGCTCAGATCTGTGGGATGGAACAAGGTAAGCTTTTAAGGTAAAAGGCAAGTTTTATGTGTGAAATGAAGCTTTCTGTTTCTCAAAAATCTTTTCAACCATGAAAACTTTCCAACTGGTGTCTGGAAAGCCGAAGCATGCAATTGCAGTTCCTGCAGAAGATAGTTCAGAAATGAGAAAAATCGAAACAAAAATCACTATGACTCCCCAGCACAGTCAGTGTACCTTGGTGTGGTCACTTGGATATCTGCCTGTCACTTCGTGCACCTCTGTTGAGCATGGTTATCTGCAGACTCCACACTGAGCACTGCTTAGCCCTGAGGATGTGTTTTGCTTGTGAGTGTTCCCAAGGCACCTGAAATGCTTCACAAATTGTTGGCATGCTCACTCAGGAGCTCTGGTCACTGCTGCTGTAGATGTTTTGAATGGTTATTTGTCCCAGCTCCTCAGCAGAAGTTGCCAGCAGCCTGTGCAGCTCAGGTGGCTGGCAGACCATGTGTGGGCTTCTGGCCTGCTGCCATTCCTAGCCTGAATAATTAAGTTTGAGCACCCCTGATGATATTATTTATTAAAATATCGGTTTGGGAGCTGCAACAGTTGGGAGATCAAATTTTTGCAGCCCTTGTGTAAAAGTGAGGTAGTGCAGAGATCACAGTTCCCAGTCATGTCAGATAAAACAGAAAGGCTGCAAATTGGTGCCGGAGATCAAAAACTTTTTTTTGAGCATCAGAACAAGAATCATGAAGAACTGCTCTCTCAAGGAAGCTCAGTCTGAGTTCTTAAAGAGACTGGGCTGCTGAGAGCTGGGGCTTTGCTGCTTGAGGTACTGTGCTGTACAAAGCAATGCTCAGACTGATACAAGTTCTGAGATAGCTTGTGACTGTGCCTCTTGGATTTTAGTAGAGCTTTCCCTCATCATCCTCCACTATGAGTTAAGTGTAGTGTAAGTAACTGACTGGAATACTGTGAATTTTTTTGTTCCCTGAATTCTCTGAGTTTAGAAGTTGAAAGCAGTGACCATACAGGAGAAATTAAAGAGTGAGTAAAATGGAGAATCCTTAGTGACATGAGGCACAGAGCACTGTGGAGACAAAGGGTCCCTATGGCATGACCCTTGTAATGCCTCCCCTGAACTTCTCCAAGGAAATGGAATTAGTACAAAATTGTTTTGGGGAAAAAAATGTTTTATAAATTAGTTGTAGTGTATGTCATCCTTGCAAATCAATAAAGCAGGGAGAAACTTGCCTGTAGGGTCTGTTGCATCATATTTAGACATAGTAATGTGTAAAATGAAGCTAAAATAATCTCCAGAGGTGTCGATGACTGATATTTAATCTTAGTTACTGTAAGGAAAACTATAGAAGGAAGTGCAAAAATCTCTGTATATTAAAAATCTTGAAAGAAATTTACCTACATGAATGAACAGTCTCTGGGTTCTTAAAGGAGAAACCACTTGAATCCGCCCTCCTCACTTTCTGCTTTGTACATCTCCATCCTTCTGTTCATCTGTACTAACCCCTTAAAGATCATTTTCATCCCATTTAAATCAGGTCATTTAGATGCAGGTGAATTGCTGTTGTAGAGGGATATTTGGAATTTGTGTTAAGCATTGAGTCTTGATAAGAATCCTGATTTATCAATTTATGTTGTCAATATTTTTTGTGAAGATGGGAGTTTTTTAAAAGATTTCACTAAAAACAGTTCTCCCAGGATTTGAACAGCTCCAAATACCATGTTTGTACTTCACAACATACCTAGGGTTATAGGGAAATGTATTTCATGCTTGACATACTCTTTTTCACCATGTGCAGAGCCAGATGCAGTCCCAGTCTGAATGGGAAAATATGTACCCGTGTCTGCATCTTATAATGTGAGCACAAGCTTCACTTGATGGGAAAGAAATGGGATGGAAAGTTTGCCTATAACACCCTCTGGTGAGGCTCTGCCTGATTGTATTGCTCAGTCTTGGGCCAGGTTAGAGATACAACTTCATGTCTGACTTCCAGGCTGCATCTTATTTTCTAAATAGGCAGTTTGTATTTTATAGCTTTTTTTTCATTTACTTTCTCTCTGGAAACTCTTTCCAGTGTCAAAATGAACAAAATTATGCTTTCAGTCCCATTCTTTAGATTCCTATGATATCATCTTTATTAAAAAACAGAAAATATACTCTGGAAAGGTCTGCTCTGATTCTCAGGGGAAGCGATCTCTTACACAGGCAACTGCTTAATAAGGACCATACCAATACCATCTCCAGAACATGGTCACCCCTGGAGATATGCACCACATGACTGTAATTCAGGTATTGTACATAAATTGTGTTTTTCATTCTAAGACACACCTGCTAATTCTTCCATTCTTAGTATGGAAGCAGAGGAGAAGCCTTTGAGTCTGATCCAACCTGATTTGCAAAAAAATAAAAATCTTTCACTAGTCACTATCTAGAATTATTTCAGTGTTCTTTGTACTGCTGATGGTGACCAAAATTTTTTTCAAGACTTGCCTTTCATTTCCATTCTGCTTAAAACTGTATTTAAAAAAACATGTTCAATACATCAACGTGTTCTGTATTTATAGCTATTAACTATGGCATCATTCCAAGTTCTATTTTAGGACAACTTTTGTTTGGTTTCTGTGTGATGCTCTAATTTCTGTCCCCCCCTCCTGCAGTGCAATGGGGGCTTCTGTTCCTCTGCTATTGTAAGTCTTATTTTAAGCCTCCTGTCAAAACTCAGAAGATGCATCTTTGTCATTTGGGTGATTATCAGACATTGTTGAATGATTGCACCTTTTAATGTTTAGAAGCTAAAGCTGCTCATCAGGCTTTTTGGTGTAAACCTCCTGTTATTGTTCCCCTAAGAAATGATACCTTGCTTCTCCAATTGTTTCTAGTATTTTGGTGTTTCACTGTGGGGTTGGTTTTTTTTATTTTTCATCTCATATTTCCCAGCAGATAAAGATGGCATATTTTTATCTAAAATATATTCCAGAAACTTGCTGATGAGGTTTTGGTATGTATGTTTGTGCCTTCCCCCAGGGACTATTTTGAGCTGGAGGTTTCCAGATCAAGTTACAGAATAGACTCCAGATGGTCTGAAATCCTTCTTTAGCTAATCTATAGCTAATTAAACATTCAGCACGAACGCCTCTGTTTTTAAAACTGAGCACAGTCGTTCAGAAAACCAGCAGATTGATTTTTTGAGCTTTACTTTTCATAATTTATATCTTTTGTTTCATTACTTGGTGTTTTTCATTGCTGGTCCTTGCATCCGTTTTGTTGTGTGGCTCAGGGCCTGCTGGGCACCTTGTATCTCGTGCTTCAATCGATAAAGGAAATTAATAATATCTCTGTGGGCTACAGCTCTTTGTTTTTTGAAGTTACTGTGGAGGGGAGCAGAGTAAGGTTGTGCTGTGGCCACACTTGCAGCAATCTCTACTTGCCAATTGATCTCATGGAACAAGGGGAAGGCAGGTGGATCTGTGCATCATGTGGCAGAAGGTGAAGGAGATTGTGAGAACAGCATTCTTTAGTTTTCATGGGCCTGATTTTGGGTGAAATATAAATGAGCTACCAACACTGAGGGTGTTGGTTTTGTATCTGAGTGCAAAAAGCACAGTACAGTTTTAGTACAGGTGGTATTTCTGGCTACCTGTAGTCAGAGAGACATATCAGGGAATAAACACTTCCCCTTATCTCTAAGGAGAGCAGATTCTGTTCCTTAATGAATAGGGTCGAACTGGGGCTCCCATGAGATTTTTCTGCCACACAGTCGAATCAGGATTAAGTACTGTCCATTATTTATTAAATGGTGGAAGTTATTAAACAGTGAATGTTATTTGTTCCACTCTGGAAGCATTGTTACAGGAATGTTTCCTCACTATTCTAGAGCTGAGGGGTTGCAACATTGTGAGAATATTTTTACAGTGCAAAAATAGGCAAATAGCAATAAAAGGTTTAAACACTTTTTTTTCCTGCTTCTTATGTGCCCGAAGATTGTTCATAGGTGCTGTCATTATTGTAAATCCTTGAATAAAGTTTGGCTCAGATTAAGTCTAGTTTTGATTCAATAAAACATTTTCAGGCTTCTGTGCCAGAGTTAAGACTCTGCTTATTAAGTATTTTGCTGATTAGAAGCCAGTGTATTCTTCAGTTCTTAAGGTAACCTAAATACTCTTGCTACCAAGATTTCTGTTGATGTGTCTAGTACCAGTATGAACTATTCCTGCTGAACCAGTATCAGGTGTTCTGAGAGAGTCAGAAAATGGTACAGAAGGACACTGCCATGTCCAGAAAATCTTTGACACTAAGATAAGTTTATGACACTGTCACTGATGCTAATGGTGACATCAGCAGAGAGAGACAGGCTAAAATGAAAATAAAGGGGAGGTTTGTCTCTTTTAGAGTGCTGTGTGTCCAGGACATCCAGATAACTTCTAGAAATATCAACAGGACCTACCTTTTTGGAAAAATGCTTAAATACATATTTGATTCTGAACACAGTGTTACTGCCAGCTTCCCTGCCTTTCTGAAGTGAGACCAAGAAAACTCCTGTGCAAGTCATTGAGACAGGAAGATGCTGTCTTGAAAATATTTTTCCTTTGCTGTTGATAACTGGATATAAATTGACCACAACAGTCCAAAGCATAAAGTTTTTACATTGTTACATGTATTTTCACTCAGTATTCAAGGTCAGATCAATCCCATTTTAAAAAATATTTGTTAATTATTTTTAAAATGCTTTAATATATAGGTGATTATATCCCTTATAAATGTGAAAATCAAGTTGTGGGGGTTTTTTTGTTTGTTTGATAGCACTTTGGTTCTAGAGGCCTATGGGCCACTCTAGGGCCAATAAAAGAAGTTAGGTGCTAACACAGTCTCTTACAGGACCTGATTCCAGGTGTATTAAAGGCAGTGGGAAGCCTTCTGGCCTTGGGAGTTCAGAGGCTCCATGCTGTTCTGGGACTTCTTTCAGGTTTGAATGTGAGAATGTGTTTATTTACTGAAAGAAAAGAGAACTTTGAGAGTAACTGGAGGCAAATTCAGACATATATAGAAATATGTAGTGCTCTGTTTTCGGTGTAACTGAATGCAAGCTGGACTTCATAAGGTTTCTGAACTGTTCAAGTTATGACATTGCAGTTGAGTTACTTTTTAATTAAAAATTTAATGTACTTAGCATCTTAAAACTCATTGGGTGAGATCTGAAAATTTAGCCTGCAGCATGTTTTAGTCACTGATCTCTGGAACAAATTCTGTTGTAAGTAAAAGATTGCAGTGATACATTATGAAGGCAGAAAAACTTATTGCCATGGCACCTCACTACTGAAAGTTAAGTAATCTTTTGTTCTTACTAAAATGGGTTTTTCCCTAGTCAAAGGAAACGTGTGAAGAACCTTCTGTTGGATCACGGAGTACAGTCAGTGAATGGTTCTCTGGGATATGAAGTGCTGGAAAAGCATTCTGGGTACAAGCCCAAGCAAGGAAGGCTTCTCAGTTAACCTCTGGATGTCAGGAGCCAAATGCCCAGGATTTGCTGCATCCAAGACAAGGTAAGCTTTGAGGAAGGACAGAAAGAGGAACAGTACTACAATTTGTTGGGTTAATTCTAATTGTTCAGCTGTTTTGTCTTTGGAAACCAAGAATGGGATTTTAAGGACAGGCAGAAAGGGGAAATTTCTCTTTTGTAATCTATCTTCTTTCCATCATGGCCATACATATCTAGGAAAAACACCATATTCAGTGGATTTATTAGGGAAAAAAAAACCCAGAAATTGAAGCCTCTCTGTCTCCAGGTCTCAGAAAGGCCAGACATGAAGTTAGGAGAACTAGAACAGCAGCTGTTAAAATAAGATGGGGAGAGATAAAGTTCTTAAACTGCCTCTGAGAAGTCTGGTTCAATGTCCTGTATTGCTTATCCAGCCCAGACCTAATTTACTGTTCATATTGATTGTAGAAGTCAATCAGTGTCCTGTATGTCTGTGTACCTGTAATAACTAATTTCTAAATGAAGGCTTGATTTTCTATGTACACCTGCAGGTGTACAAATACACTTTAGGTGTATGGTGATGGCTGATGTCCCAATTTACAAATGGGAAGTCTCCAGTATTTATTTTTAACCTCTATTATTACAGGAGAATTACAAGAGCTGGGGACAGACTTTTGAGTAGGGCCTGTTGAGGTAGGATGAGGGGCAATAGTTTTACATGAAAAGAGGGTAGATTCATACTAGATACATGAAAGAATTAAATATTTTTTTTACAAAAAAGGTGGTGAAACACTGAAACAGGTCTCCCAGGTACGTGGTGGGTGCCCCATCCCTGGAAACAGTCAAGATCAGGTTGGGATGGCGTTCTGAACAACCTGGTCTAGTTGAACATTTCCCTGTTCATTGCAGGGGTGTTGGACTAGATGAGGTTTAAAGGTCCCTTCCAACCCCAGCCATTCTATGATTCTCAGGTAGGCCCCTTTGAAGTTATACTTCAAAGTGTGTAGCTGCTGGAAAAGTTGTTTGGCTGTTCCTGCAATGTAAATGCTCAGCAGTAGGTTAAGGACTTGAAGAATTGGGGCATAACTAGTGTGAACCTGTAGGCCTTCCACATGGGAGAAGTTTTACTGCAGTGTGAGTTAGCAGAACATATATCTCCAAAACACAATACATTTGTGCACGAATACCTACAGCTGTAACTCAGGGGAGCTAGGTAAGTGCCTTCAAAAGGAAACAGAAGAAAAGCAAATTCTTGGTGCTAGTGCTTAGGTTAATTTTGCTTTCCAGAAGTTATTGCACTTCATTATCTGAAGTCATCCAGAAGTCATCTGCACTTTATTAAATAGGTGGTCCATGTTTGCTTCATGGTCGTGTTTGTACTGTGTTTGTGTGCAATGTATTAGATTTGCAGTGTGTAATGCTAATAAGTCCTATGAGGAAAAAAATATTATAAGTTTACATCGTGTTGGTTAACATGATTTAGAAGGCAGAAATAGGTCTCGGGAATTACTGGTAGAAATTGCAGACGGGGATGTTTGTTGGTAGAACTTCCCTTCCTGAGGGTATTGAAATATTGGTGGATGGGCTGGGGCATTCCAGTAAATCATAGTGAGCCTGAAAGTCAGCAGCTTAGTGCTGTGTGATGTGCTCGCAATGAATCTTGTCATCTGTAAATCCAAGTTCGTTCCTCTAAAGGTCAAAACTGCCAGGACTCATTGGTGCACCTGGTATTAACTTTCATTATTTCCATTGGCATTGAAAGAGGATACAAATCATGAAGTGTTTCCAAAATTAGATACAGTTTTACAATCTCTCCGAGGTCCTTGAGTCTCTCCTATGAGTCATTTCTTTTTGTGTGCGTTTCTGTTCACATTACTACAAATAGAGCTTGTACTTATATCCTGTTCCTGATGAGATTTAGAAAGTGAATTAGGCAGAAAGAGTGTATTTCAGGCTGGGCACCTTCATCATCTTAGCCCTGTTGCTGGGGGACGAGTGGTTTTTCAGAACTCTCTCTGACAGCCCAAGTGCTTCTTATCACAGTGGGGCTGAGCTGTTTTAGCTTAACTGTAACTTCAACCCAGTGATTAAAATTATGTCCCCCTCACTAAGCAGAAAAAGGCTTAATAACAGGGGGTTTTAAAACATTGTCCAGATACAATGTACAGAAAGAACAGGAATGGTAAAGAAAATGGATGAGGGGTAATTCCTACTTGTCTTTTCTTTTTAGTTAAGTTTCTTTAATCACGGTGGGGAAGTCTCTACCCAGTACCATCCCACACTGCTGTTTGTGGGAACAGTCCCACCCCCATCTGTGACACTTGTACAACCAGTGTCTTCACTGAGCGTGTAGATGTGAGCACTCTAACCAAAGGCATTTGAGCCACAGTTATCACCTGGGACATGTGTTGTCTGTGAGAAGTTTTTAAAAATGATGGGCTTACTGCTCTGAGCAGGAGTGATAAGAGCTAGCTGCTACCAGAGTGATGGAGTTTAAAGGCTGAAACCGAGGAGGCTCCATAATGGCTTTTCTCCTCTCCAGTTCTAATCATCAGTACATTTCACTCTTATAAATGAAGTTAGATTGCCACTGAAAATCCTGACTTTTTTTTCTACTTCAGTAGATTTCAACTTTTAATATGGTTTCTACAATTATTAAACACCAAAAGACAAAGTTTACCTCTTCCTGTAAATCCTGATGTAGTATCTGGTGTGGCACGTGCTGCTTGTAAAATCATCACTTTTGTCACTCGTGTGTGGATAGCAACTAATAGATAATAAATGTATTGGTTTAGTTGATAAGTTAATTTTAATAATTATTAATTTAAAACTTGGTGATTCTATAAGAAGTAAAAGGGTCATCATATGTTCTGCAAATCCATGGGATATTAACCTGCAAAGAATTTTTGAAAAAGAAATAATTTCCTTTGCACACCACCCACAGGATTTTGTGGTATATTCTGATTTGTTTGTGGGGTTTTGGACTATACTGGGCAAAATTAGATGTACACAATGGTCTTCATAATATTGCTGGTCTAACAAGGCAGAAGCATGCTCTGTTGTTGATGCATGGAAACATATTGCTGTTCTGTATTTTTAGGTAATACTTAGATGATCATAGAATTGTTTCATAGAGTGGTTTGGGTTGGAAGGGACCTTAAATATCATCTGGTTCCAACCCTCCTACCATATGCAGGGATACCTTCCCTGATACCAGGTTGTTCAGTGCCCCGTCCAACCTGGTCTTGAACACTTCCAGGGATGGGGCATCCACAGCTTCTCTGGGTAATCTGTTCCAGTGCCTCACCACCCTCACAGCAAAGCATTTCTTCACAATATCTAATCCAGTGCTGCCCTCTTTCAGTTTAAAGCCATCCCCTCTTGTCCTATCACTACCTGCCCTTGTCAAAAGCCCTCTCCAACACTCTAGCAGCCCCTTTAGGTACTGGAAGGTGCTACAAGGTTTCCCTGGAGCCTTCTGTTCTCCAGGCTGAGCAACCCCAACTCATGGTGATGGTGTGTGGTGGGCTGCCACACACCAAATATACATGTATTTGGGGCTTGTGGTAAACATCAGGGAAATGCTGCTGTAGAGGATGTGAATAGCAGATTGTGAGTGGGTTTTCCTGTAGCACCTATGACCATACAAATCTGAAAGATGCATAAAATATTCTTGTGAAGTTTACGGGGCAGGAAGCTGATCAGTATTTGAAGTATTCATATAACCATTAGAATTAGGTTTGTTTTCTCTGGGTTGTCTTAAATGTAGAAGCAATAGTTCTGATGTTTCTAGGAACTGTAACTCTACGTTGTGTACTTAAAACAACAGTGCAGTAAATGAACAGTAAGCCCAAAAGATTTCTCATGTAAATGGATATGGACATGGTTTTATAACTAGAATATGTGCTGTGGTTGTACAGGATCTCTGAGGCAGATGTTCTCCCCTGAGTGTACTTAGTGTGTAGTACCCTTAAATAACAGTATAGCTTCAGCTTCTCCAGAAATGGCAAAAATACAGTAATTTCACTCACTCTGTTGAAGACTGGAGAAAAAGCATGTCTACTTCTACCAACAGTATCCCTTTTGCAGTTTTTAAGAAGAAACTCATCAAACCCAAATGCTGTCTTTTTATGGTAGTTTCATATAACTTGATATTAATAACTCTAGCAGTTCCCTATGGGCATTAACACCTATTTAGCTTTTATGAGCCAAATAATTGAACATAAAACTCAGCTCAAGTTGCTGGACTGTGCTTACCTTAAATCTGACTTCAGTGATTATCATTGAGCTGAATGTTTTCTGCTTCCAGGAATGTTAAATTAGTTCTGAGCTTGCCCAAGCGATGCTCACTGGGATGGTCACAGATAAGTCAGTCAGAGTTTCTTCTCTTCTTCCTTATTCTAGTTAGGAACATGGATCTAAACTGGTTACCCATGAGCTGGAAAAAAATCATGTCTATTTGCAGAGGTGAGGCTTTACACACAGTATTAGATTGAATCTCGAGGGTTTAGTTTCTGATTTGAGTGAAGTACTGTATGGTTTCATTCTGAATACAGGTTTTTTAAGGAAGAACTTTTCTCAAATTTGTTTCTCTCCATTTATGCATTCTAGATCTTCTTTCAGAGATCTGGAAATATTCTATTCTCTGGAGGGTATTAAACTTCTGTAAAAGCTTTGGGTCACCTGTGTAAGAAGGAAATCTTGACTTGCAGGAAAATCACGAGCAAGTTGTTTCAGTAGTCAGTTAACTTTGCATTTTATCTGCAGTCTAAGTGAGCTGAGCCTTGTCCCTGAACATCTCTTGGTGCTTGGCACACCTCTTTGAACCAGGCTCTTAGGCTTAGCCCATGAACCCTGGGTATGTGTTTGTATATTAAGATCAAATGACCTCTAAAATTTCCATTGGATGAAACAAACAGACTGAGCAACTTTAGCTGGTTGTTTTCCAGGCCTTGGGGAACTCCAAACTGACAATATGCAGAGGTGTATTTATGGAGCACTCAGATCTCCCCCTCTGTAACAGTCATACAACAGTAATACATCTTTTTGTGCTGTCTC